GCATGATCTGTGTGGCATGCATGATCTATGTGTGGTATGCATGATATGTGCGGCATGCATGGTCTGTGTGGTATGCATGATCTGTGTGGTATGCATGATGTATGCATGATCCATGTGTGGCATGTATCATCTATATGGCATCCATGATCTGTTTGGTATGCATGATTTATATCTGGTATGCATGATCTTTATCTGGTATGCATGATTTATGCGTGGTATGCATGATCTATGTGTGTTATTCTATATGTGGTATGCATGATGTATGTGCGTGTGTATGCATGATGTATGTGTGGTATGCATGATCTGTGTGGTATGCATGATCTATGTGCGTGGTATGCATAATCTATGTGTGGTATACATGATGGTATATGTGGCATGCATGATCTATGTGGTATGCGTATGATCTATGTGTGGTATGAATGATCTATTAGTGGCATGCATGATATCTGTGTGGTGCATGATCTATAATGTGTTGTATGCATGATCTATATGTGCCATGCATGATCTGTGTGTGGCATGCATGATATATGTGTGGTATGCATGATCATATACGGCATGCATGATCTATGTGTGGCATGCATGATCTGTGTGGTATGCAAGAGCCATGCGTGTGGTATCCATGATATGTGGCATGTATGGTGTTTACGACCTTTGTATGGTATGCATGATCAATGTGGCATGCATGGTGAATGCATTCTCTTATGTGTGATATGCATGATCTCTAAATTGCATGCATGATCTGTATGTTATTCATGATCTATGTGCGGTATGCATGATCTTTATGTGGTATGTATGAATCTATGTGTGGTATGCATGATCTGTGTGCTATGCATGATCTCTGTGGCATGCATGGATGAATTCATCTATGTGTGATATGCATGATCTCTATATTGCAATGCATGGTCTGTGTGTGGTATGCATGATCTGTGTGGCATGCATGGTGAATGCATGGTCTATATGTGGCATGCATGATCTATGTGTGGTATGCATGGTCTATATGTGGTATGTCCATTATCGAAGTATGCTGTCTGTTATCAAAATATGATCAAAGGAAGCCCAATCATTGTTAGATCTGAAAAACACAAAATATGGTATGCATGATCTACGTGTGGTATGCATGATCCATGTGTGGCATGTATCGTCTATATGTGGCATGCATGATCTATGTGGAGGTATGCATGATCTATATGTGGCATGCATGATCTATTTGTGGCATGCCGCATGATCTATGTGGCATGCATGATCTATATGTTGCATGCATGATCTGTATGGTATGCATCATCCAGTGTGACTTGCATGATCTGTATGGTATGCATGATATGTGTGTGGTATGCATGATCTGTGTGGCATGCATGATCTGGCGTGTGGTATGCATGATATGTGCGGCATGCATGGTCTGTGTGGTATGCATGATCTGTGTGGTATGCATGATGTATGCATGATCCATGTGGCGCGGCATGTATCATCTATATGTGGCATCCATGATCTGTTTGGTATGCATGATTTATATCTGGTATGCATGATCTTTATCTGGTATGCATGATTTATGTGTGGTATGCATGATCTATGTGTGTTATTCTATATGTGGTATGCAATGATGTATGTGTGGTATGCATGATGTATGTGTGGTATGCATGATCTATGTGTGGTATGCACAATCTATGTGTGGTATACATGATGTATATGTGGCATGCATGATCTATGTGTGGTATGTATGATCTATGTGTGGTATGAATGATCTATTAGTGGCATGCATGATATCTGTGTGGTGTGCATGATCTATGTGTTGTATGTATGATCTATATGTGCCATGCATGATCTGTGTGTGGCATGCATGATATATGTGTGGTATGTATGATCTATATACGGCATGCATGATCTATGTGGCATGCATGATCTGTGTGGTATGCAAGAGCTATGTGTGGTATCCATGATATGTGGCATGTATGGTGTTTGTAATGACCTTTGTATGGTTTGCATGATCAATGTGTGGCATGCATGGTGAATGCATTCTCTATGTGTGATATGCATGATCTCTAAATTGCATGCATGGATCTGTATGTTATTCATGATCTATGTAGAAGCGGTATGCATGATCTTTATGTGGTATGTATGAATCTATGTGTGGTATGCATGATCTGTGTGCTATGCATGATCTCTGTGGCATGCATGGATGAATTATCTATGTGATATGCATGATCTCTATATTGCATGCATGGTCTGTGTGTGGTATGCATGATCTGTGTGGCATGCATGATGAATGGGCGGTCTATGTGTGGCATGCATGATCTATGCGTGGTATGCATGGTCTATATGTGGTATGTCCATTATCGAAGTATGCTGTCTGTTATCAAAATATGATCAAAGGAAGCTCAATCATTGTTAGATCTGAAAACACAAAAATATGACAGTTTTATTCTTGAACGACCGTACTTATCAAATAATGGCAACTCCTATTTTCAGACAAGAGCAGCTTGCTGAGGCAATGCAGAAGCTGAGAGATGATGTTCGCCACAAGTATGACAATGAAACAATCGGTCAGAAGGCTCTTCAAGCTGAGCTGTATACCAAGATTGGCACAGGAGTTGTGTCTGCAGTAAAAATTCAAGTTTACGATTTGGCTGAGTCAGAACTGACGATTACACATCACTTCTGCTGAGGAACATGTGAAGAACATACTTCAAGACCATGTTAATATCGACTGTTAATCATTCTGTCAATTTCTCAAAAATTCCTTTCCTTCTGTGATGATTTAAAGTGGACTTGTAAGATGGAGGACCCTTTGGGATTTCTATTTTTTAGCGGAGTGAGTATGGTTTTATGCCACTTTTAGCAATATTTCAGCAATAGATCATGGCGGGGGACACAGAAATTATTTCACACATTGTACCCATGTGGGAAATTGAACCCGGGTCTTTGGTGTGATGAGCCAACGCTTTAACCATTTCAGGACTACCCCACCGCACTCCAAATTTTTAGGGGCAGTGGTGTGGGCTTGTGGTGAAAGCGTTACCTCACGCTGATGGCCTGGATTCGATTCCTCACATGGGTACAATGTGGAACCCATTTCTAGTGTCCCATGCTGATATTGCTAAAATCAGCATAAAACCATAATCACTCACTCACTCTAAATTCTTAATCTTGAAATTAAAATTTGTACCATTTCAATATCATCATTTGGATCTTTTATCCCAAATCTTTTATTCCAAATAAGAGATATGACTTTATTTCATATGGCAATACTCATGTTATTTCACATCTCATTGCTGTTGTCATGATGACATTGTTTTGTCTCTACACAAAATTTCAACAGTCCATATTGTCCATTTACTACTGTTATAACTTTTAAGGATTACAGTTTATTTTAGCCTTTGGTTATAATTTATATTCCAGCTTACCCAAGTTTTATTTTGGATATTTGGTTGAACACAAGCAGGATCTATTCTTTTCTCTTTTACACATTTTATACATGGACCTGTTGATATGAATTAAATTCCTTAATGATTTTAACTGGCACAGAAACTAGTGTCTGTCAGAAATATTTTGTAACCATTTTGTTGTCTCATTTGTTATTTTAAGTGATATTTGTACATAGTTATACTGTTTTTGTGTTATATTCATAGTGATAGTTTTTGTGAAAACATTATCTGTGATGGGATTCTATTTACAGTTGTCCAGAAAAATCACTGGCATTTTATTTAAGTCATCTGTCATCTCTACTTCTTCATTGACGTGATTTGCTAAAAATTATTGTCATATTTGGCCAGGGTTATTTTGTATTTTGACTTTTTCATGTCCCCTGACTAAAATGGCAATGTGCGGAAATACTTACATTAAGCATGCAGATACACAAATCATTCTCGATTTAGAGGTAATAATAATAATAATAAATAACATAATAATGACTATTTTGTATAGCGCGGACTTTCACCACACACAAGGGCAATGCTCAAAGCGCTGAAGAGTCACGGTTCATATGTAAAGGAAAATACAAGGATTTATAAAACAGTGTGAAAAAGGTGTGTGTTTGAGTCTGTTTTTGAAGCGTGGCAGAGTTAGTACTAGTTTTAGATCAAGAGGCAGAGAGCCGCAAAGGGTAACAGCTGCATACTGAGAGGACTTTGCACCAAACAATTTGAGTTTATAAGTAGGTAAAAGGTAGCTTAAGAATTGGGCCTAAATTTTGATATACTTCTCACCCTTTTCCAAAACGGAAACCTACAACAATATACTGTTGACAATGGGACATATGAAACATCCTAATATTTTTACCAAATTTAGGGCAAATCCCCTCCCGAAGCAAAACAAAGTCTGTTAACGTTTTAGTATTGACAGAAAATTGCGTTTTAAGGATGGTCTAATATGACCAAACAAAGCAAAATCATTATTCCGTACAAGTATGAAAAGATTGCTAAATGCCCTGTCAGGTAGATGTTTAAAGGACATTTTTTTTTCTGCAGCCCTGTTCTTCTTTTGTGAGCTCAGGTATCACAGATCCGACGTAGCGACATTCGTGTCGCTATGACATCTCGTAAGACTATAATAAACTATGGAGTTACGACAGGTTGTAATGTTACGAACATTTTGTGGATCGTTATGACATTCGTAAGACGATGATAAACTACAGTGTTACGACAGGTTGTAATGTTACGAACACTTTGTGCACAGCCTTCCATAGCTTGAGTAATCTCCTCTTGAGACAACTCTTCTCCAGTTGTGTGTTCTATATCTGTAACTAGATGTGCATTATGTCCAAGAACTGCCCAGTACAGAAAACATTTTCCTTTCTCTCTGTGAAACCAAAGTTCATCTTTAGAATCAGTTTTATTATGATGATGGTGGTGCTTTGTCCGATCACACTAAAAGTTTGTTGAGCGGTTTAAAAGCTGTTGTGTCTCGTTTGAGAACTTGATGTGTGACTGATTGAGAAAACTTTCCTTGTTTAACAGAATCTGCAAACCTTGTGGTAAGTAGGTCATCATAATTATCTGAGACATATATCAGATGGAGATGGTCATCAACTGTTGTTTCTTCAACTTTTTCACCTTGTACTCTTTCAAACAGAAAGTCATCACTACAGTTCTTCAAAACAAAGACTGGACTGATATTGAACATAGCACAGGCACAAGCATCAATAATTGAAGAATGGGCAAAGCCAACAGTGTATCCCTCTAGTGAAGAATGTACCTCTCAAACTTTTAGCGGCTTTGTACATGCCTGAACGTGTAGCATTTGGCATCAGGTCTTGAACAGTTTTGACCATCCTGTCCATTTCCCTTGTCTCCATCTCCACTGTCTAACCTGGTCAGGTTCAATTTGTCTTCTCACACAGCAGCATCAGAACCAAAATGGCCGATCTATCATTTCTGTCTTCAAGTAACTGCTTTAGTTCTAACCTAAGATAAAACAGCGGTTCTTTGAATAATGGATGAAAAGGATGAAAATTCAAAACAAAGTTTACAAATAAGAGGGAATCCAAAGATATTGGAACAGCTTCTAGCTCACTGTAATCAGGAATATGTTGCACAGAGCAGTCACCAAAAGCATGTTTATGTGGGGGTGTGTGTCTGCGAGCATTTTCGTCAAATTGGGTTTTGCCCGAACAACATCTCAAAGTTAATCATTAATAGTTTTACTACTATCAATCTGAACACTTTCATTTTAACTTCTTTGTAATTCCTAAAGGATGTAGAAATTATTTGACATAATTTTGTTTTACAAAAAATCTAAATGGCCACCATTTTTAGCTTTTTGTCGTGTTTTGTTCTCTCTCAGCACTTAAATTTACATAAAAAATGAACACTGAATGTTTCTATTTTCATTCCAAAGTTGATACTCATTGATGTGTTTTGAAACTTGCTTTCTCCTAGAGTGATGGCTTGGGCTCAAAACAAGTCATTTTGTATGGTCATAGCATGGTAATTTTAATCAATGTTTTACAGACAGGGTTTTATTTTGCAATTCTCCGACTTTTCATGGAAATGTGTGAGAGCGATTTCCATTTAATGGCAGTTAACATTATTTTGTTACTAAAACAAGTTGTTTTGTTTTCTCTTTACTTCTAGAGTGACAGCATGTTATTTGGAATTATTACATATTACCCAGAATTTTAAAATGGCCACCAAAATGGCCACCATTGTAGTTTAACTAGTATACTTATTTTAGAACGTGTAGAACGTTTGACATTGGGAATTGACTTTACAGAAGTCCTCTGAAAATCACCAACAAACATTGACACAATTGGTGGATAATTTGATGTTCAAGAAACAATCATTACATCTTGTGGCCAGTTTGTGAGTTCTATGCATGTACCAAATAATCCAGTGATGTCTGTAGATGACACAAGATATGGAATGAAAACCTCGCACCAACATCCAACAGTCTAAAACATCACATTGATGAGAGTAAACTACCAAGTCCATGTTTGGCAACAGTCTCTGCAACCAATCATGAACATTCTTTCACCAGTTGACCATGGTCGGAGCATTTGTGATGGTCAGCTTATCCCTATTCTGATGTCGGGAGATCCTGCTCCCCATGGATTGGTTGAACTGACATCGTGTAAATGCAAAGTCAGCATGCCAGCAGAAAGAATGATATAGTGTGCACATAGGCATGTCTTTTGTATGGCAGATGATTGTTGTCTGAACACCTTTGACTTGTTGCCAGTAGATGACCTGATTCTGACATGAGTGAGTGAGTGAGTGAGTTTAGTTTTACACCACACTCATCAATATTCCAGCTATATGGCAGCAGTCTGTATTTAATCGTGTCTGACCAGACAATCCAGGGATCAACAGCATGAACATCAATCTGCGCAATTGGGATACGATGACATGTGTCAACCCAGTCAGTGAACCTGACAACCAGATCCCGTTAGTAGCCTCTACGACAAGCATGGGTTAATGAAGACTCAATTCTAACCTGGATCTCTACAGGTCCGATTGTGACATGATGTAACATATGAAATGAAAGAAAGTGAAAAGAAGGGTTAATTGCAAGCTTATAGATGTATCAAAAGTGATTAAGAGTTATCTGATAGAACAATTTGAATGCCTACAACCAAAGCTTAGACGTAGTTATCGGCCATGAAGCATAGTTTTCAAACACTTTTGGATAATGTTATTTCATCAAATATTTTGTAGGAGTGGAAGCTTTGATTGACCCTATCATTGAAATTCTAGCTCTATTCCTATACTTGTATTAAACATTAGACACCAAATGATTTGTTTGGATTTCACTTCAGTACAAAATTTAGTCCTCAGATAAGTATATGTAGTTAAACTACAATGGCGGCCATTTTTGAATTCCTGGGTAATATACAAAAATCCCTAATAATATGCCGTCACTCTAGAAGTAAAGAGAAAACAAAACAACTTGTTTTTGTAAGAAAAATAATGTGATCTGCCATTAAATAAATCACTCTCATACATTTCCATGAAAAGTCGGAGAATCGCTAAAATACCTCCTTTGTCTCAAAGAATAAGCTGTAAAACATTAAATTACCCTGACATGACCAACCAAATGACTTGTTGTGTGCCCAAGCCATCACTCTAGGAGAAATAAGTATCAAAACACGTCGAAAGTATCGACTTTGGATGTAAAAGGAAACATCTGGTGTTCATTTTTATGTAGATTTAAGCGCTGAGAAGGCAAAACACGACAATGTAAAATGGTGGCCATTTTGATTTTTTCAAAACAAAATTATGTCAAATAATTTCTATATCCTTTTAGCAGTACACAGAAGTCAAAATGAAAGTGATCAGATTGATAGTAGTAAAACTATTCATGATTAACTTTGAAGTGTTGTCGGGCAGCAAACCCAAATTTGACAAAATGCTCGCAGACCCCCACTACATATATAATGGCCTGTAAAACCCCTGATACCACAATCTGAGAGTATTACAGGCCTTTTCATGAGCCGAATACATCATACTAACTGAAAAATAGTGTCAAACGAAATCAGTACTGGGAGGCTACGAAATCCCCATTTCTAGGCCCCTTTGAGATTCCTCCTCCTGGACTAGAATGTCAATTTGGATGGGTTCATCATAGTGTGAATGATTTGAAAGCACTGAAAACCTCCTAGCTTGAACCTCCTAGCTTGTGAGGAAAAATGGCAAAATTTCACATGATTAATTTGGTACAATAAAAGAATTCCACAGTATGTGAACTTTTCTCTCCTCGGGTCACAGGTGTTTAAAACGCCAAATAGTTTTGAACAAGATCTGGTCACTTACTGACCCTTCCGCCATCAACACTCACCTCTCCCCAGTGTTCCTTTGTCCCGCCCCTCCAGTGACGATGTTGAAAATGTGTTAGCAAGCCATGTTCCTGAACGCTGTTCACCTGTCAACAGCAAACAGGAGGAATCATCAGTAACCATGGTAACCATGGAGTTTTCTTTCCACACTGAATAAAATATTTAATACTGCTTGCAGAGCTTAAGAGTTTGATGAACATCATTCTAAAGATCCAGCCTCAATCTATCTGGTATTCTCTTGATTATAAAACTTACTATAAACAATGATATGTATTAAATATAAGAGCATGTACAAACTGAAAGGACAATATGAAGTTAGGAACCAAATCTGAATCACTGGTAAACAATGATATGTATTAAATATCAGAGCATGAACAAACTGTAAGTATGATAGGAACCAAATCTGAGAATCACTGGTATCACGATCTCCTAAGTTTACATGGGGCAGTTTTTTCTGTAATTTCTCATTACCAAGATGCATTTTGTGTGAAGTTTGTACTGCAAGAAACTGTGATGTCATATCAGAAACAAAGCCTTGTTTGCAAATGGGTCCAGTATTTATAACATTTGTAACAGAATGGATACAATGGGATTAAATAGCCGCCTTTAGATATACAAGAGGATGTTTGCGAGAAATAAAATCCTGTTAAACTTGGCATGTGGTAGATATTTGGATATTTAAGTGATTTCACATATTGAACTTCGGACAATATTGCAACCATTTTGAGATTTTTAAAATCAAATCATTACTCCTTTGTAAAAAAGAGGCTAAGAACATCAAATATTTGAACAATATGTCAGTTTCGGTGAAGAAGAGTTTGATATTAAAGCCTGTATTTTTCACTTAAACAAGCCGCTGTGGCAATCAATATTAATTGGTGAAAATAGAAATGTTTCCATTTGAAATTGGAACACAATATTGACATCTTTGAACAAGTAAAGTAAATAAAAACAGGGTAGAAAGACATCAAGATTAAGTTCCCATGACAAAATGTCAATCTGAATGAAATTCAAATTACTGTTTGAATCGGTGCTTGATCCAAAATTCTGTGTAATTACACAAATAAGATACCTCAAACAATTCGGTTTTGTTTATGCATTACATTTTGAATAATGCCCCTAGGAGTATTTTATTTGAAATAAACAATCAGGGTGACAAAATGGAGGCCCAGTACAACGTGACACCAAGAATGAAGCATAAAACTTTATAGATGACAACTTCTTGTGTTTGCTTACAGTGGTGTTTCTATGTCGATTGTTACACTGTTATTAGGCAGAAAGTGACTACAAACAAGTGATCATAAGTATACATATATACATAGTATGTTCTGACAAACAGCACATTAACATTAACAACAGCATGTAATTTAATCACAAGTGGCACATAATTAGAAGACTGACTGACTGAGTTTGGTTTTACACCGCTTTTAGCAATATTCCAGCAACATCACGGTGCATTACACCAGACATAATTAGATGAGACCAGGCGGTATTAATGACAACAAATAGAAAAGGTAATGAAGCCAGTAAGCAGGATGGATTAAGCACTTAAAACAGGGTGATAGTGTGCTATGATAGAGTCTCGTAATGTTTTAAACATAATATTTTATTTCAAGAGAAAGAAAGGTGAATGGCAAACAAGCTCAGTGGGCTTATATAAATGCCTCTCCCGAACACGTACATATTTGCGGAAGCTATCTACAAATCAATTCCCAATAAAGTAATAGAATGGATTGGTACCAATTACAGTTGCTTTGCAATGTTAAACCAAGATGTTTATGATGAAACTACTTTAATGTTGATATTATTCATGTGAAGATCAGGAAGTCTACTGGGTGGTTGTTTGTGTGAAAATGATATGCTTTTGGTTTTGTTAGGATTGAAAACGACATTCCAGTCTCTAGCCCATTTAACAATTTTTCTAAGTCATGATTGAGGTAAGTAGCAGTAACATCAGGGTTATCAAAGTCAAAGATGTTTATTGTACAAAAGGCCTCTGGCCCATATACATTGGAGTTATACATATACATTATACATATGGTGCAATAAGTAGTAATTACAGACTGCTTTTTGGTCCTCAAAATTCTGGCTTATAGGCGGTCATATAGACCTTTCCACGGAGCAGTGCTTCCGTTGCCACTCTCAGTTATCCCCCTTTGTGGTGGCGCTTAGTGTCGTCCGCCATTAAAAAGCGGCTGCAAATTGACATTGGCGTTTTACGTCTGGCAACTTGCTTGTTCTTTTCGAAAATATGTCTCGGGACAGAGGTAGGCCTTATGAGCGTGGATCAGGGAGAATTTGTGCTATGAAAGACTGTACAAATAGCCAGAGAAATCTACGATATGGAAGGAATTGCCCTGTACAGTCCATAAACTGCCACCGAAGGACTGCCCTTGTTTGTTTCCCTATCATCTCCATAGGTTTCCTGTGAATGAAGATCGTCGCCGTGTTTGGGTGTCACGTGTTAATCGGAAGGATTTTCACCCATCTGATAGCAGTGTGGTATGTATTTATCAAGATAATTAGTGGCACAATAGTTTATCCCATCTGATAACTAGAGATAATGAAGCGTTAGATATTTTGTTATTCATGTAGGGCCTACAGTGCTGGACCCTGTTTCTCAAAGCTCGTAAGCTAAAGATCTCAGAGCATTACGTACCTCCTATGTTACAGTATAGGAGGTGCTGAATGCACTATAGGGTAAAGCTATGCAACAAAGGGTTGAGCGACAATTTTTACTAGTAAAATATTCCAACATTTTAAAACCTTATGTGCTACAAATCATTATTCTAGAGACATTTGTATTGTAGAAACTTACTGATATCTTGCAATATGCCCAAAAGATTGAGAGGAAACAGTCTATTTATCATTATTTACTCAATATATCTTTCCTTAAAATTAGTTAATAACATTACTGGATTAATTTATTATGTAATTTATTATTGCTTTAATTACTTTACCCTCCGTGTATCGTTAGTGTACACATAGTACAGGGATGTAAAGAATTTCTTTATTTAACGGCTCTAGTGTTTAACAGGAGTGAAAAAAATTGTTGAAAATGTGATAACCCATTGTAGTTACTGGAGTGACATTGGCTAAATAGAAATGTACTTATTTTATTTTTATATTTCTTTTTCAGATATGCTCAATTCATTTTTGGATGGCCATCCAAGCAAACAAAATCCTGATCCAGTCTTAAATTTGGGATATCAAAGAAAGGTTAGTGTACTTTAAGTTTAATGTAATGTACAATATAGTCCTACTAGTGATGTATTAAACGTAAAGTTATTTTGACAATTATGTTATTAACTATTTATTACTGTTCATTGATGTAAATGTATAGTAGCCTGTTATACTTTTAACTTTCCACTCTCCAGGTGACACAAGGAAGAAGGACCATTTTCCGACACCCTCTCTCTGATGTTTCTCGACCCCAAGGAGCAATCAACTGACTGAGGAGTGCCATGCTGAAGCTGAACTGACAGATCAACCTGTATCTCAAGCTGAAGAGAAGGAAAAGGAGAATGATGACTCCAGACCAAGTGATTGTGACTGTTGTAAACAGAAGTCTTGTTTTTGTCTTCACAGACCTATGATAAAAGTTCCAAACAGAACTGTAGGAGTACAGGTTCATTTTAACAAGTCAGTAGATCAGCATTATGCAACCCAGCACTACACGACCAAAACAAAGAATGTCTCTCTGTTCAGGTTAATTTTCCTGCCTTTTCTGCAGACAGTATTAAGACTAACACTGATTCTGTGTTTTACACTGGACTTACTCTACAAGTGTTTCTGTCAATAATAACTTATCTTACATCTGTACTGCGGTCAAACATTAAGATGCCACTCTCAGATCAAACACTACTCACACTTATGAGACTTAGGCTTGGAATTCAGTTTCATGATCTCGGCAGAAGATTTTTCAAATTCCACTTAATTAGCAAGTAAAATTTTTGGAATTTGTATCTCAATTTTAGCCAGAAAGCTAAAGGATTGCATTGTTTGGCTCCCAAGAGATGTTATTAGATCTGCAATGCCAATGTCCTTTAAGACTACCTATCCACACACTACCTGCATTATTGACTGTACAGAAATGTTCTTGCAACGCCCATTTTCATTGAAGGTTAGGAGCTCAAACCTACAGTACATATAAAAGTCACAATACTGCCAAAATTCTTGTTTGCGATTGCTCCCAATGGATATATTATGTATGTTTCAAAGATGCTATGGGGTCGTGCAAGTGATGTGTATATCACCAAGAACTCGGGTTTTCTAAACTACTTGTTACCTGGTGATGAGGTAATGGCAGATAGAGGCTTTACAATAAGCAATGAACTTTATGCTAGAAGAGTGAAACTGAACATTCCTGCTTTTATGAAGGGTCGTAAACAACTGAGTGCTACAGAGTGTATAGAAACACGAAGAATTGCATCTGTAAGAATACATGTAGAAAGAGCAATTGCCAGGTTGAAGTCTTACAGAATATTGAATCAGGTTCTACCTCTTAATTCCGTTCAAAAGTTGGATAAGATAGTCAAAGTGTGTGCAGTCCTGTGTAACCTCAGACCAGAACTCATCAAGGACAAAGACTGAGTAGTCATGTATGTTTCAGACATCTAGTAGGCTGCTTAAGCTTATGAGATGTATGTGATTTTGCAATGTGATATTTCACCAACAAGAATGATAAATTATAAATACATAGTCTCATTGAATTGATGTTTAAATCATTAAACTGAATGTTCACCTCACCTTGATTTTTGTTATCATTGCTGTTTTATGTTTAAATACCAACCTATAGATATTCAATGAAATCAAACTTGTAAATCACCTTAACCCTTAGACTGCCATATTGCATGGCACCATATATACAGTGATAGAAACTACCAGTGGCAGATGGCCACCACTTTTGTCTTTGGGCCGATGATATTTTGGAGAAAACAATAGCAGTTAGTGATCACCAAAAGTGTTTTTTGTTTTACAGATACATCACCACTTGGGCCACTAGGAAAATCTCACAAGTTTCTGTAACTGTATATGTTGTCCCATGATATGTGTGAAAACAATATTCCTGCTTCAGGGGGGTTAAACATTTCATCTTAAGTGTGAGTAATTACATGAGATATAAATACTGATCATGTTCATTAAAAACAAAAACACATATTCATTTCATACTGGTACATTGTATTTTATTATTCAACCTAAATATGTTAAACATTTATTTTTTAAGTTACTAGCATGTGAAATAGTATTTGACTTGAACTGTAGTTTTCTTCATAGAATATCAGCAATTCATAATACACAACTTTGATTTTATTACTATTCATTTGAGTGTCAGTGAGTGAAGGAAATGTACACGTTTACAGGTTATATACAAATTCTTTTTAACATCAACAGTAAGTCAATAACATAGTAGATACATCACATCAATTAGATAGATAGCAATTTATTGACTCAGCTCTAACAAAACAACAAACTTCGCATAGCTGTGTAATTTATGTGTTGATGCTGTTACAGCTTTATTTACACTACACATGCTACGGTGACACACAGAACTGCTTGTATTCCTCACTCAACACGGTAACCGACCTGCCTTGAAGTCATCAACCAACCAGGACCAGCATATGTTTAAAATAAAGCGCTCTTAATCTAGACAGTGTATTGTCAACAAAGCTGGAATCATATGCAACATCATGCAGGACTCTGTCATGTTCTTCTGGTCTCCACATAAGAAATGTGCACTGATGTTTTCCTGTACAGAACATACACATTTGCACCTGAGTGAAATATCCATTTCTCCCTTTTTTGAGTAAAGAACTAGTTCACTCTCAATGTTTCGAACATCACCTTTTCCTGAGTCAATCATTGCATGCACAGATGTTGTAGGACATTTTATTTCTAATATTGCAGAATCTTCAATGATTCCATCAGGACTAGCAGACAGAAATGGTTCATGTGATGATATAACAGTTCCTGTACACATTACTTTCTTCCCAGAAATATCCTGATAATGTGCCCTTGCTATGGGTTCATGGGTCACTCCATAAGCAGTGTTGTCATTACCCTTAAATCTCTCATACAGGTGATTGTTCAGGAATTTCTCAGGGTCGCCTCTACTTGTTTTAGGTACACTGTTGGCCTTTGATGCTGGTATTCTTACTCATGCTGCTGTCTTTCCATAGCGGACTTGATGATGCACCCTGGTTTAATGTTAAATTACTTAATTCTTCTCTTTTGTACTCTGGAAGATTAACATACTTGTCATAAAATTCCTGGCAAACAGAACATTCCAATTTTGTGACAGTCTTGCTATAATCAATATCATGAGATCCATGTCTTGATTCATCATTTGACGTTTCCTTGCAGATAGGATTTACATTTTCAGTGGCTGAAAATGTTTTATGGAGAAGTGTACCCTTCAGTTTCCAAAGAGAACAAAGTGGAGAATTATTTACATGCTCAGTAAAGTCTTCTGTGGTAACAAACTGCTTAAATCTGTAGGGCTTGCTTTTCGATGATGTAGACGTTTCTGCAGCTTGACTGGGATCATCAGATCTTTTTGGATGCTTGAAATTCATGGCCTTTAATTCACTGAGTAATTTATTGCTGTCAGTCCCTCGTCCCCATGTACAAGGTAAATCAGTACAAGATTTACCAGCATATCCATGTAACCAGGCTAGATGTACAGCATACATAATGGCTGCAACATGAATACATGACCTTCCATGACCAGCTGGGCAAGTGCAACATGCAGTTAATACAGTACCATCTTTCCTTGCAGCAATCCATGCATTGCATTGTAAGGAACTGTAGAGGCTCCTGGCTGAGAGGGTGACACACAGGGCTTTAAGATAATGAACTTCATTTTCCACAATGCTTTGAATATCACCTAACCATCCATTCTGCACATAATTATATGCATATGTTGCTCGAAAAGCTTTCATTTCCTTGGAATCAAATGAGTGGGACTTAATGAGGTAGTCAATAATATCTTCATATCCTATCTGAGTCCAGTTTCCAGTATTATTGGTAACCCACTTGGCACTGCCTTCAGGTAGTGACTCTGTAACAGAAAGTACAATAATAACCATACCCACTCATCACATTTGACCTAGCCTCATTACAGATTGAGATAACTATCTGACCTAATTATATTTAACCAGCTGTTACTTCTAGTTACAAGAGAACGTCTTAATTTGTGTGAGATAAATAAGAAATATACTAGTACTTTTAATAACACAAATATGTAGATAAAAAGTAGAAGGTATTTTTCACAAATTATTTGGTCAAGGTATAGTCAAAGCGTAGTCATTTGTGAGCATTTAGTAAGAGATTACCGTGTGTAAATCTTGAAATAATCTTTATATAGCTAAATAATAAATTTTGACGATGGTTCTTGACATATCAAATCAAAATATAAACAAGACAACATTAGGGGAATATGTTTGGAAATATTTAAATGCCCTATACATATTTGAAAATACAGGCAAGTTCAAATTCAGAGCGCGCAGGCCTTATAAGATACAGGCGTGCCTATAGTTTACATACAGTTTCATCGTTAAATTCAACTTCGTTTAAAGGCCTTCAGTTTTCGGTGCACAATACAATAGCCGAGTTACAACAAAATGCACATGATATTGACATTACTTGGTCATTTCTTTAAACTTTAGTACTTTAAATATATCTTACCTGCAATGTTTGTTTTAGACATGACATCAGAAATCCCTAAAAGCGAGATGTAATTGAACCTGTAAAGTAGACGTTGTTTTCGCGTGGCGTAAGCGTTGACTGGGCACCATCTAGACTTGTTTGCAACGTCATAGATTGCCGCGGCGTTACAAATAGCACAGACCAGTTCATCGTTGCAGCGCTTAATGGCTGCCACAAAATGGCGTTTCGCCCATGAAATAAGCCATGGAAAGGTCTATCACGGTGGTGGTGATCCAAACAGCAAATCATGATACAGGCAGTAAATTATGTACAAGTAGTGAAATCACGATGGACCTATAAAACTTTTATCAGATTGTTACGTTTAATAAGAGCATAATTGATATAGTATGACAGCTTTATTATTACATGCTGGTCAGTTGATGAAAGAAGTAGTTTAAATGCTAATGTAGGTGGCTTACATAGATAATATTCAGCTATATATTTCGTACACAAATCTTTATACAAAGGACATACAAGTAAAAAATGGATTTCATTTTCCACATCTATATTACACAATAATAAAAAGGGATGTGTCATCAGCGAATAAATCAATGTTAACAACTAAATCGTTATATCAGGAATAATAATGGGCCTAAAACGGAACCTTGTGGTACTCCTGCATTAACACTGAGGAAATGAGATTGAAATCCATTTATAACAACTTGTTGTTTTCTGTCTTGCAAATAACCATTTCAGTAAAGAGCCTGAAACCCCTATTTTTTCTAGTTTATAAATCAGATCTTCAAACCAAACTTTATATATATATGAGTATCCTGGGTATCTGTAAATCAAGGGTTTGTGATGGCAAAGTTCAATAGCATTCAAAGTTTTCTTTTCGTGGATTCCTGATTTCTCAGTGGATAGGAGACAGGATTTCGTCTTAGTTAAACTGGATAAGGAAATTTTGTTGGTGATCTGTGATGGCTGATTTGCTGCATGTCTTGGCTGTTGGTAGTCACTTTTAGCTATAGTGTATGAATCTACATTGCAACATTGCTCTAGCCTCTATGCAATAAACAAGAAGTTGTCATCCTTAAAGTTGTGTGCATAATTTTTTACTCCCCAACTTCGAGAATGTTCATCAAACCAACAATGACACCCACCTGTACTCAGAGTGATTGCTTGGTTCTCCAGCTCAAGAACCTCCTCATGCTCAGCTGAACCTGCGAGTACCAAGTGACCTTCATGTTCCTCGTCTGAACTGACTCTGCTGCTACCAGAGTCATCCTCTGCAGTCAGGTATTCCTCATCTGAACTGGATATGTCAACTTCAGAAACAGGCAAGTCACCTCTCAATCTTGATGTGCCCTTGTGACCTTCAGGCTGCCCACTGGAAGGGGCCACCCGACCTTCAGGCTGCCCACTGGAAGGGGCCACCCGACCTTCAGGCTGCCAACTGGATGGGGCCACCAGACCTTCAGGCTGCCCACTGGAAGGGGCCACCCGACCTTCAGGCTGCTTACTGGATGGGGCCAACCAACCTTCAGGCTGTTCACTGGATGGGGCCACCAGACCTCCAGGTTGCCCACTGGAAGGGGCCAAGTTGTCCTCAGACTTTCGTCTGGAAGTGGCCAGATGTCCACTGTCCTTATCGTGGCTGGCCATCACAACTTAGCTTCTTTTGTCACCAAGCACTATCTGTGAAAATAATGGAGAATCTAATTATGCTATAAAACAGACTTGTCTGCCAGCTTGATGAAATCTTTTTCACTCATTAATATTTCTATTTTCATTATTATGATAAGAAATGAACAGAATATGAAGTTAAACCTTATCTGCCAGTGATACAAAATGTTACGACTGAAAAGAACCCTGAAGTCAAATACATCTTTATATTTTTGTCGTATAATCCATGAATTCATCATTATATTTTACGCATTTTGGAACTTTATAAAAAGTACAGGATCTGCTTCAGTGAATTTATAACATGACTGTAATGTCTAGACATTTTATAGATTACCAACGTGATTCATATGCACACACATGCCTTATGTGGTCTCATCGAAGAACTTCATGGCGAAATGAAATGACGTGGAATGATTCTGCTGAATGCTACAACAAATGAATAAAAACAAAAATAATGTAATTTTAAAGTAAAATTGATATTTTATACTTATCCTGACTCATGATCTTTGCTTATCTCCCTCTTCTATGCGAATGGTAGTGGAACACTTGAATCCTTTGTAGTTCCCTAAAGTGGACGCAAAAGTACACTCACCCACAAGTTACCTCCCTTTTCCCGCGTAAACAGTCATGTGACCAACCTTACTTGTCACTCTCTCTCCTGATTTTCTGCCCATGCACCTGGACCTACTATAAAATCCGAAATGATTCCAGCGGAGAGGGCTTGTCCTCATGAGTCAGGATAAGTATAAAATATTAATTTTACTTAGAAAATTACATATTTTTCCTTATCCTGACTCATAATCTTTGCTTATAGAATCCTTCGGATTGGTCTTGGGACAAGCCACTTCGTGGATTCATCAGCTGTCCTTAGATACATCCTGTATCCCCCCCATGGGAACTGCGTAACGGCATTTCCTAGATCCTTAATCCTTCCATGTTCCATTATAACTCAGGGGGACCACTTTCTTGTCTTACTTCCATCTCAGACAAGTTTTTGAGATATACTAGTATCTTCTGCTTACTTATTATCTTAACAACCCATAGATTATGATAAGATCTTTATCATAAATGAGTTGCGACCCCTTAATGTACAGGTAAGATCTTTACCCGTACAGAGTCTTAATCAATCATGCTAGTCTGGCCTAGACTGTGCGCATGGACTTTCAAACTAATACTTTTCCTTAGTAAAAGTTATCAACAAGTCATCGTGACAAAGGGTGAGATTTCCAACTCAGCCTTTGTTGAACCGTTAGTTGCTGTGCTACAAACGAGAGGCCCAAACTGGTGAATGCCGGAGATGTCTTGATTGGCTAGTGCAGAGCTAGTGTTGATGCCAGTGCTCTGACTTCGTGTGGGTTGGAAGCTCTTGGAGGTTCTAGTCTTGCTGCTTGGTAGGTTCTCAATATACGGCTCTCATCCAGAACGATATTGTCGTTCTTGAGATTTCTACTGATGTCTCTGTAGATAACGGGATGAATAGGCGCTTGAATTTTCTTCTCCTTGTTTTAGTCTTTTGAAGATATATCTTCAGGGCTCTGACAGGACACAAGCATAAGTCCCTGCGTATCCTCTGGTCGAGGATCGTTACATAGGGCTGAATGCGATGGAACTGATTCTTGGCAATAAATCCCATCTGGAGTCCTATATGTACTGCAGCATGGTGCCCGTGTCAAATCTAGTTCCTCAAAAGTCCAGCGCGTAATGTATCTGAGCAGCAAGCAGGAACAGAGTCTTCTGTGTAAAGCAACTCGAAGGTAGTCTGTTCTAGAGGTTTGCAGGCATCGCTCATGAGATGACGCAGGAATTACATTCAGATCCCAGGCGGTGCTCTGAATGTCTCTTGCTGGTCCTCCAGTTTAAAAGATCGCAGCAGAACAAGTAATTCTGGTACTTTCGTCAAAACGATGCCAGACTTCATAGTGATAACTGTACTGATGGCTGCCAGATGTGTGGATAATGTCGAACCTTTCAGGCGTCTACATTATATCTAAGATGACATAGATATTCCGCCACTTGAGGATGAGTAGCTTTCATAGCTGTAAAAAGCCTTTCCGCTTTGCATATGTCTCAAAGCGTCTGCCACTTGCCGCCGTCAGCCCACAAGTTCACGAGTGGATCTGCGTAGCGCTAAGGTTACTGCCTTTGCTGCTCTGGTGGAGTATCCTCTTTCCTTTCAGAAAGGTTTTGATCACGGTCCACCGCGTGTAGCTGGAACAGTGTTGGGTTCCTGTTGACTTGCTTGGTGTGTGGATGTCTGAGTAGGTTCGGCCATTCTGGTAACTTGAGGGTTGGACTTCCAAGATCTTCTATTAGGTCTAGGAAACATATTCTACGCTGGCCAGTAACTTCATGTTAGTATCTAGATTCGGGCTTTTATAATCCATGTGATATAATGGGAATTTTTCTCAGATTAAAGGATGGCAGATACTGATTCTGGAACTTCGAGTCGGCTTTCACAAAAGCCGTGCGTAGGTTAGAAAGTACCTTGGATATAGGTTCAATCGAGGAATAGTCACCCGAGGAGTCAAAGTCGTTGTTGCACATCTTATATGTGTAGACCTCATCCACATCTTTAGAAGGAGACTCTAAGTTCAATCCATTGGCTATCCAAGCTGTAACCTCTGAGTCTGGGAAGGCGAGGTCACCTTGTTCATCAGAGAAAATCTCGGTCCGTGAACTATGCCTCCATGTCGTCCTTCCTGCGAACCTTGCTTCCATGAACCTCTATCCTTAGAGTCATCCCTTCTTGAATCTCCATCTCTAGAATCATCCTTTGCGCGAACTTCTATTTCTAGATTCCTCCTTAGCGGCGAACCTCTGTCGTAATGATTCCTCCTCCAGCGAACCTCTGTCTCGTGATATATATCTCTTCACAGCCTCTGTCTCGTGAATCATCTCTTCGCGAACCTGTCTCCCGATGCATCTCTTAGCGAACAACTGTCTCGTGATCCATCCCTACGAGTACTCCTCTCTCATGAATCCTGCCTTTGCAAACTTGGTCCTCGCAAAATGTCCTTGGGAGATGTGTGATCTCGATCTAGAGTGGCTTGGTTTTGGAGATGGATGCTTTGGTGTTCTCGAGCGTTGAGGGTTCGCAGACAGAGATCTCAAAGTGTTGCTAGCCTTCGCCAGCCTTCCATCATCTTCCATGATGACAAAGTCATCAGACTGAGATGACCTTCAGCGAATGTAGACGTTCAGCCAACGTAGTCTTCCGATGTAGATCTGAGAGATGTAGCAGGGTCGCGCCAGGTCAGAGGGTTAGCACTAGTAGTATTATGAATTTCTGCAGTAGCAAGCAACATCACGGGTTAGCAGGTTGGTCTCCAGATTTATCAGCGTGACTTGTGATGACTTCCTCACCCGATCCATGGCACGTCTATAGATATAAGACAAATATTGATTAAATTGTAAATTTGATAAACCAATGCAATATGTACAGCATAGGTGGAAGAACATCGTTTAATGCACGCGAAGGGCATTGGAGGTGAGGATCAGCCACGGATAGCCTGTGCCTGCAAACACTGCAAGATTACATGAAATGTAAACAAGTTACATAACGATGAAAATATGTCACAAATACAATTAATTTCTTCAATGTTTTACATATAATACAAGTTAATTATAGCCAAATACCATACCCAGCGTAATTTTAATAATGTAATTTTCTGAATAAAATTGATATTTTTATACTTATCCTGACTCATGCTTAACTGCTTGTCTTCTTCCTCTTGCGAACATAGTGGAACACTTGTATCTCCTTATTGAAGCTCCCTTCAATAAAAGCGTCAAAATAAAATCACTAATCACTACTCACCAAGAGTTATCCCTCCTTCCTGTTTTGGCGGAACTGGCGCTACCGTTCCCCACACATGCTTCACTCTCTCCTGAATATGAGCCAGACACTTGAATTTACAGGGAAATCCAAAGTGTCTAGTGGGAAGGTTGGGAGGGCTTTCTCATGAGTCAGGATAAGTATAAAAATATCAATTTTATTCAATATCAAATTACATATTTTTCCTTATCCTGACTCATGCTTAATGCTTGTAGAATCCGACGGAAAAGGTGGTGGGAAAAGCACTTTAGGATTTATTTAATGAATTTTACGTCAATATATACCCCCTACGGGAACTTCATCATGGCACTGTATTACTGCTAAACTCTGCTGCTGTTTAGCAATCGTGTTCTTTCAGCTGCCTTTAGATGGGGAACCACAATTGTTAACTTTTGGTCCTACTTTTGTTAACATTACAATGTGGATTTAAGCGTCTCCATGTGGAGAAGCGACCCTTTGCTGTATGAGTAAACCTACAAGTACTGGGTTTATCACTTATGCTAGTCTAGAGACGTGCCTTGGGACTTAAGCAGAACTCTGCTGAGTGTAGGCTTGATAAGTCATGTGATAAGAAAGCGAGAGACTACTCATCTTCTGTGGGGAACTGTCAACTGTTGTGCAACAACCAGTGGGCAGAAATGGTGAATACCTGAGACGTCCTCGGTGGTGATATCTCTCAGGTAGTGGTTTGCAAACACCATGTCCGATTTCCAGAAGCAGCCTTCCATGATCGTGGTAAGGCGAGCAATTCCGATGTAGAGCGAGTGTTGATGCCAGCCTAATTCTAATTTAGTGTGGGTTGGAGGCTCTTGGAGGATCGAGTCCTGCTGCTTTGTAGGCCCGTGTAGTATGACAGTCCTTATCCAGATAGATATCGTGAGTCGCGGGAGACTTCCGTCCGGGTGTCGCTGTTGATATCGGGACGAAAAGTCGTTTAAACTTGCGTCTCCTCATTCTGGATCGATGTAGATAAACTTTCAATGCTCTCACTGGGCACAAGGATAAGTAGTAAGCTTATCATGTGGTCCCGAAAGTACGGAGGATAATGCTGGGATGTGGAATTGTCTGTCCGTTGACCTGGCAGTTGATTCTTAGCGATAAAATCCCATCGCAGTCCCATATGCACTGTGTTTTGATTTTCATCAAAGCGTTCTCTCGTAATCTAGAGCATGAATTTCCGACATCCTGGCTGCTGTTGCTAGGGCTAGCAGGAACAGCGCTTTTCTGTGCCAAGAATTCGAAGGATGTCGTCTCTAGTGGTTAAGTGAAGGCGTCACTTGTGAGATGTCTGAGAGCGATATTGAGTCCCCGCGCCCGGGAGCTTGAAATCTCTGTTTTGGTCCTCCAATTATAAGAGCGTAACAAGGCCAGTAACTCTGGTACTTTTTCGTTAGCTTCAAGGCACCCGTCCTCATAGTGATAACTGAGCTCAATGCCGCTAGGTATGTTGAGAGTGAAGACCCTTTTAGTCAGCTTTGTTTGCGTAGGTGACAAAGATAGTCTGCCACTTGAGGGATGTGTTGCTTTTCTAGCTGAAAATCCAATTTTAGCAGCGTGGGTCTCTCAAAGCTGCGCCACTTGTTGTCGTTAC